AGGCAATGGATTAAAAAAGGTTATATACACTTCACTTTTCTACTGGTTTGGTATCCCTTTGGTTTGTTACCTAAACTCTATGGGCTCCATGCAAAACTTCACTACTTCCTGTATTTAAGGTAACTCTTGTGCTTCCTTTCTTTTTCTACTGGATGAACTGATTAATCCAGGTGTGCATGACCTCAGTAACCATTGCGTGACTCATCTGGTTTAATTATTCCATCCAGTAGAAAAAGGCAGGAAAAAAAGAGCTGATTTAAGTTCAGGAAGTAGTGAAGTTGTGCATAGAGCCCATTTAAACTTTAGTCATAATCCCAATCCCCGCTCCATCTTGTTGGTCCCCACAAGTACATATAAATCATAATGTAGTTTTGGGGAAATTGTTAACAAATACATGGGCACAGACAAACCTTCTCTTTTGGCCATATGTAACTAGGACCATATGTTGACTCCCATTGACTTCCATCATTTTCAACCCTTTCGATGCCCTAACCCTGACAATAACCTAACTTTTACCAGTTTAAACCTCACCCTAACCCTAAAGTAAACTCAATTCACATTTAGCTATTGTAACTGGATGGCACCTGAGAACTGTTTGTTGGGTAAGGTGTGGTGAAACCCAGAAAACAAATGTAACCTAGCTGTCTGTTTTGCCATAAGTAAATACATTGGTATTACAAAGTAGATAAGAACTGCTGTTTTCTGCTGAAAACCCCTGCTTATGGACAGATTTTTGGGAAATAAAGAACAACTATTGCTTGCTGTGTGAATCAGCTTTATTTCAGTTCAACTGATAACTGGTAATTGCTTCATGCGTCTTTATTCATCGCTTGTAATATGGTTAACCACCTGCGCAATTTCCTGTCAAAAATTAGTGTCGTCCAATGTGATTAGTTTCCTCTTTTCATGTTGTTCTGATTACCTTATAAGAAGTTTTTATCTGAATGCGTAAAATCAAACAGACTGTAAACTGGGGCACAGATTTTTTTATCTTAAGGAAAGCGCACAGCTTCCCTGGAGGAGAGAATTATCCTTTATTTTATTTTTTGTTGCTTAATTTTGTATCTTTTGTGTTAAAATGAAATCCGTAACAGACGGAGTGGCCTGTAAAGACACACACAAAAGAACTGCTTCTCTGTGGTTCTGGTTGCTGGTAAAGATTCTCAGTGATCCAGGTCATAGTCATTCCAAAAATGTTAAAAAAAAACAACAATCCACTGGACTTTGTTTCCAAGTCATTTTCAAGACATTTCGCTTCCCATTCAGGAAGCTTTTTTTTATTCAAAATGAATGGATGGATGCCATTTTATATTTTTTATTCTCATGCCCTGGCGGATTTAGGTTTGATGTAATCTTTTAATTCAATCAACATGTTTTCTTATCACTTGCCAAGCCAGGGTCCAAAAGATAATCTGTGGAAGGAGTTAAAGACTAGGGTGATGGAAAGAAAGTCTTCCATTCTGAAAGACATTAAGCTTTTGCAAAAGGTGAGTGAAACAAATAACAATAGGAAAAAGCGAATAGTTTATCAGCCAGCATAAGCATTTGATTCTCATACAAGCAATTATTTTATTGCATTAGTAATATTTCAGTCAGGCGAGAGCTGTAAAGCCACAGTGTTATTGTGGAATACCAGCAAAATGAAAAGTTTTGCCTTTTCAAACTCTGCTTTTAACACGAAAGACTCAGTGCAGTTCTTCTTTTCAGCATTAGACAGCATTAGAAATTTGCCCTGCTGCCAGATGCCTACCAAATATTGCATCCGAGCAAGTCCCTGCTGTGATGCCATGAACATATTAATTATGTACAGGTGATCGCAATCTGGTATAATACATAGTTCTATTGTTATCTATTCATGTGCTTGTAGGTTGGGCATTCTTTCTAATTCTACGTTGCTGTCCTTCCTGTTTGGTAAGCACCACTTGGGAGTGACGGTCAAAGCGAAGGTGGGGCATCTTGGGTTCAGATATTTTATCTGTCACTGTTGAGAGTGAATGTGTGGCGCTGTGGCTTAGTTGGTTAAAGCGCCTGTCTAGTAAACAGGAGATCCTGGGTTCGAATCCCAGCAGTGCCTTTTTTTTTTTAATTAAAATTGGTAATATTACTGAGCAATGCAGCGTATAAGGCTACACACATGCTTGCTTTGAGAGATTGCTGTTGAGTCATCACAGCTAAAAAAAACAGCAATCAGCTTGTTCCGGACCGATCTCTATGATCTGATTGAATTGTCCCTATAAATTGCTTATCTGGGGTCGGGTCACGGGGGTAGCAGCTTCAGTAGGGAGGCCCAGACGTCTCTCTCCGCAGCCACTTGGACCAGCTCCTCCGAGGGAATCCTCACTAGTGAGGCCTCCAGGAGGCATCCTAACCAGATGCCTAGGCCACCACAACCGGGTCCTCTCGACATGGAGGAGCAGCGGCTCTACTCTAAGTCCCCCGCGATGACTGAGCTGTATAAATAAACTGAATTGAATTACACCAATTTTTTTTCTTCGTTAAAAATACAGTGGCAGGAAAGACAACTGATGCCTTGATTGATAATGTGTGCTGAGTATTTGTTTATATTGTTAAACAGGTTGAGCACACATTCACCTGTAAGCTTTAATTGCTGCTTTGAAATAGATTTTATGTGTTGTTTCTGGTTGATGAATGCCTCTATATGAGTATCTTAGCTGTGTTTAATATTCTGATTTAACTATGTTTAAGTGAGTTAGGGTCATGCTTTTATAAATGCAGAAAAAACTGCCCCGTGTGAGGCTCGAACTCACGACCTTCAGATTATGAGACTGACGCGCTGCCTACTGCGCCAACGAGGCCTGGAGACCCCATCACCCTCATGGCTCAGAAGAATCCAGACAGACTGTGGTGCATCTCAGGTTTCAGCTGATAGAGATGGGGGGTGGGCTGAGTACTATAAACTGCTGCAGAAGCTGCTTCCTCTGCTGGAGTGTTTAAGTCTGGTTGCTACTGAGGATTTGAAAAATCCAACCTATTCTATGTTATTAAAAACGGCTTTAACACGGTGAGGAAAAGGCCCGACTAAAATGACTTCCCTGTTTGTTTACCATATATGACATTTGCTCTTTGCTTTTTTGTTTTTATGTGTCTCCTTCCACTGTTAAAATCCTCTCAGTTGGTGGATTAGACATGTTAATGTTAACTGTATAGGATAAATATAGCTTCAAGCGCTGGTTTAGGAAGTACTGTCTTTTTAGTATCCTGGGATATTTTGCTTCTACTTCTAGCTAGAAGGTTGTAACAACTGCTTTGAAAGGGAGATTTACCAAGACAGTGTGTGTTTCCTTTGTCTACATGTAAAAAAAACCCTCAAGAAAGCTGGCGTTGCTGTCTCCTCTCTGCCACATTAACATGTGAAAGCAGCTGTTGTCAAGCTGATCAACTGTTACAATCTGCATTCTTGCAGAAAAACAAAATCCTTTCAGCTTATTGCCCCGAAACAACTCTGAATTAATCTTTTAGTTTAAATAATCAGTTTTAAAAGAAACCCTTTTAGAATACTTTTACTGTAGGTTTAAGGATTACAGCCTTCTGGTAATTTTACATGGCAGAATTAAGAAGTTAGAAAAAACATAAGCAAATCAAATGTTTTGGCTTCATCAGCTGCTGATCAGTTTTAGCTTTCAAAAGAGAGCCTTTTCCAGGACCTTCATCATCACCTTACATGTCATGGCAAGGTGGAATTGTTTTTAACCAATCATTTGAATAATTGTCAACTAATTTAGCAATTGATAAATCTTTATCTGGAGACTAAAAAATGCCTTTAGCTGACAGAGCAACCGAACCTAGAGCAGTATTTGCACCAAAATATAAAAAAATGCATAAATATTTTGCATTTAAGATAAAATAACGTTTTCATGTGTCAATATGCTCTACCCAGAACTCATCAAGTGGAAAAGTTGTTGTTTCATATGGTTTAATTCTGTAAAAACTCTTCTTTAAGGAACCTTTAGCTATCCGATCATTCATTGATTAATCCAAAGAATTATTTACAGATGAATGGATTAGCAAATTAATCATTAGTTGCAGCCCTAATTTGAAGCCAGGATCATTATAAGCTGTATAAACTTCAAATGAGCTTTCAGATCTTTCACTCTGAAGCCATTTGCCATGATGCTGCCATGTGAAATCCCCGTCTTTAATACAGGCATTTTGGTAATTTTTTCATTTGCATTTCATATGAAGTCATTCCAGAAAGCCTGTGAAACTTAAAGAGATGGATTATGTGAGGCAGACGTACATAGTCAGTGTTTGACCTGCACAGACGGATCCGCGAGCTCTGAGTTTGGAAAAGAGAATTTCTACTCTCTGTTTGCATCAGTGAGGTTTCTGGCCTGAGATGTACTTACACACTCATGAGACTTATGATATATGCTCCTAATTTTTCAGAAACCAACAAAGTAAAGATAAGTTTGCACATAGAGGAGAATCAATGTGACATTTAAGTCATTTGTTAAATATGCTGGGGCTGACCAGCAGTTCTAAACCAATAAAAAGGAACATTTTCTTGGGGGAATATTTTTTCTTTTAGTTCTTTATTTTCAATGGTCAAACGTGGGTTCTTTTTTTCCCCCCTCCAAAGTAGGTAGCCGTTATTTTTATCCCTGGGTATTTAGATGCTGCAGTGTTTTTGCTTCCCATGGTGAACATTCCTGAGCTCTGATAAGAACTGTTGTATGGAACAGTGAGGACACGTAGAACTAGATTTTATAGATGAGGGAAATGTTGTAGTTATTTTTAGAAAGATCTGTTGAGATCTTCTTAAAATGCTGCATCATCATAGGTATATTTAAAGCTGTGGAAGTGCATCAGAGATTCATTTCTCTCATATCAGAGAACAAGGCTACGCCTCGTCCTGACAGCATCCTGTAAATTGAAATGAATTTGATTAAAAACTGAATTGTCCAAAATGGGTTTTTATTGTTTTTGTTCATCCCTTTGTTACCAGTTAGTTAAAAAAAAATCTGTCTCTCTGTTGGCAGGAGCTACAGCTTGAAGAAAGGACAGCTGGAGCGGGACTATGCACAGGTACAGTACAACTGACTAGACTAAAAAAATGTGTGAGCCCAATGCTGTCATGATCTACTCTTCTGAGATTGCCGGACAATATTGCTAATTTATAGATAGAGGAACTGTAGAAAGAGCCACAGATTAGGGTTATAGTGACAAGTTTTCCAACCTCAAAATCTTGGAAATTGCAGAATTCAAAGGAGGGTTTTATTGCTTTCAGTAAATGCCCCTTTTGATCATTCAGAATAGTATTAAAAATGTGTTACATTCATAATTAGAATGTAGAATAATGAACAAAACATAACCAACTATCAGAGAGAGTGTACCAACCTCACATTTATGAATCCTGTGTTGCTCGTTGCCCTTTGTATTGTTCTGCCCACACAGCTCTACTGTATGTATGATGCAGCACTCCCAAAAGCAATCTCCACCATTGTTTGTTTTAAAAGCACAGAACCATGTTAAAAACAAATAATTGCTGCACAGAGGTTACATTTGGTCTAAAAGCTAGCTATCTATGAGAAGCTGATGGCTGAAATCTGGGACTCAAGTTTTCAATGCTGCATTGAGGACAGCAGCCCACCCTTCCACCAAGCAACTAGGTGCAGCTTTTACCTTAAGGCTCTGGGTAAAATTTCATTAATGGTTCATCCATAAAGAAGATCACAGCAGTCAAGAGGTGCAGCGATGAGGAATAGGAATAATATGAGGCTCATGCAATGCCAGGTAAAGACATTTGGAGGTACATGTTCACTCTGGAGCTTAGAAAAAGGATTCAGATAAACAGTCCATATAATTAATTGTTCAATAAACTGCAACGTGCTGTGCCTTGCGGAGGTATTGACGCGTCTGGAAAATGGTAAACCCCAGTCCGCTTCATTGGGATTTTAAGTGATAGAGTGACCTAGATCAGTCTGAAGTGGAAAAAAAAAGCTCAAGTTAAAGACTGTTGGCCAGTGTGATGTACCTTATTTAGAAAATAAATCTTCTGAGTATATACTGAGTTCATATTTTGTAGATCGAGATTTTTGACTGTAGTTCTATATGCAGGACTTTTGGGCCTTGTCTCAGTGTGTTGACATCTACAGACTGATTTTTATCTCACTCTTCATGCATTTTCCAGCTGAGACCAAGATTATCAACTAGATTTAGGTCAGAACTTTGATTGAACCTTACTTAAATGAACATTATTTTGTCTAAATTGCCGGAAGATTAACCACTCTCCCAGTTTCAGGTATTTTATGGTTTCTGAAAGGTGGTCTGTTACTTGCTTTCATGCTCCTTATGAGTGTCCCCAAAGCATGGCACTGCCTTCACCATACTTCAATGTAATCAGGGTTCCTTAAAGGGGTCATAGAATGCAAAACCGAGTTTACCTTGTCATAGATGAATAACGATAATTCAGTGGGTGAAATAAACGTACAGAGAAGTTCAAACCCAATCGACACCCCATTTCACTCACAATTCTAAACTTCCATCATAAAACAGGCGAATCCAGACGAAGCCCCGAAATTGACGTCAACTCGTCGCTGTACTGCACTGTAGTCGACCAAAATCCTGGACGATTTTGAAATTCCCCCCTGATGATTTTTTTAGGTATGAAAAGTAGGACATGTCCGGGAAAAAAACAGATGTCTGGTCCCCCTATCATATCAACAATTTCAATGTTTCGGTGAGTGAGTGCTTGTTTCTACGATGCGTCTTTGCTCGGCAGCTTCGCTCGTTGTAAACCAACCAATCAGCGCACATCTCATCTAAATATTCATGAGCATACCATAAAAGGAAGAAAACCTGTTGTTTCATTCTAGGGCTTTTAACCAGGCTTGCATTGGGATGCAAAGAACAGCAAATACCCCATTTTCAGCCCAACCAATGTTACACACCCTATTCAGAGACCTTAAGGACCAGCATCAAATACACTATATAATCATTCTATTACCCCTTTAAAAAGTCTCAAAAGGCATTGAATTCTTCAGTATAAAATCAATGCTTTAATTGTTGTTAAAATGTGTTATATCAGTCTTTAAAAGGTCTTAAAATTGTTACCACACCATAAATAGGATTTTATTTTTGTAATCCATATCAAACATTAAGATAATTGACAATAATTTTCTAATATTTACCAAACCACTCGCTGTAACCATTATTGGTTCTGTCCCGATAGCGGAACCAATAAAAACGGTTGCGGCCAGACCTTAGGATGATGTTCTACTCAACATTTTATCTGGACAACATGAGGAAGTTTAAATTCAACAAACAAAAAGTTATCCTTCCAAGAGTTTTCTGCATGGTTAAAACCACTGCCAGGGACTGTAGATGAAGCACGATGGAAATCAAGGCAGTGGAGACGCATGTGCGAAAAATGAAACTCAAAGCATCAAATTCAAATTATGGAGAAGCCGAAGGTATTTCTTCGTTCTGTTCCATCCTTGTCTCTGCAACGCCTCCACAGAATCTCTACATCAACAACATCGCTAGTAGAACCAAATCTCCGGATGATGTATGGCAGTATGAAGACAATGAAAGTAGAGGGATTAAGTAGGGAACAAAAAAAGTTAGTGAATTCAGTTCAGTAGTTGTTAAAAAATATGTCTGTTATTTGGGTGTTTTTAGCTCTCTTCCTATATGAGAAGTTTTTCAAAATTTGAAACATGTCTACTGGGCCAGAAAGTAATGGTTTATGTTAAAATAAACATTTGGGGTAAATTTGTCACTACCAGGTTTTTCTTGTGTTTATTGTAAAGTTAATTTTAAATTTTTATTTAGGGTGGCATTAAAAACTCTTCAAAAGTCTTGAATTTAACTTGCTTTATGCTGTAGGAACCCTGATAATGATGGTGAGTTCAGGGTTATAAGTAGATATACAGTAAGTAGACTTGTTTTTGTTTTGTATTGGTACTAAAAAGTTTGGTTTATGTAGAACAATCTAAACTGAGCACATTCTACCGATCCTTTATTGTGTCCCCTCAATGGTTTATGGCAAAATGCTAACATGACTAATCAGGATTTTCTTTCTGTATTGGATTTCTTCATGCTCTTCCCTCATATATGCCAGATTTATATTTAAAGAAAGAAGAAATCCACCTGAGCAGTAGATCTTTGCAGCTGCTCCATAGTTACCTCCTGCACAGTTACACATTAGATGCTTCTAAATTTTAAAAACCCATGATTGTTCTTAAGAAGCTAAATGTGTTTTTTACCACCAGTTTTATTACACATACCAAAGGGAGGGTAACTTAAAAGATGTGGTGTCTATTTTGCATGGTTCTTGAATGATTTGGTTTCCTGTGGTCAAACTGACAGATTTCAGGCCCTCATTATCCCCCCTCTCCCACATTGCCTCGCCTGCTCTCCTCTTGATACTCCCTTAAGTGATGTCTGCTCCACCTTAGGGATAGAGGCTGCCTAGCAACAAGCCCTCTAATCAGTTAGACAATGGAGCTCCTCCTAATTGTAGGTGTGTGTGTTTGTGCGGGAATGTCGGAGCACAATAGACTTTTAAAATAGGATTTTTGGGGGGAATCCTATGATTTAACTGTGTTTTAGCAGCTAAAATAGCAATTTATTTATTTCAAGGGTATTTTTGGCTTTTGTTGTTCTTTACCATCGATACCCGGATAAGCAATATATCAGGACTATTGGCTGTTTCAACGAAGTAGGGGCTTTTAAATAGGCATAAAAAGAAAATGTCATGTACAATTTAGAAAACAGACCTGAGGAAAATTCACTAGGGAAATTAGGAGGGAGGACGGCCAGAGAAAGTTAATATGCTAGCATTTAACCCCTGTCCTTTCAGTTTGTCAAAGCAGGCGTCTCCTGTGAAGGAGTCAGCTGCAATTACCAGCAACCAATCAAAGGAGGCATGTCCTCTGTGCACACGAGGGTGTGTTTTGCATGCGAGAGTTAGCCGCTTGTCTCACATTCCCCTCCTACGACTTTAGCATTACAGGAATAGTTTTAGGCTTAGGTCACAATTAACTGTTCAGCCCAAAAAGGCCTGCCTGCCTGCTTTCTGTAGCCGCTGCTCTGTTTCTCTGCTTCTGCAGAAACACGCTGCAATTTGACATTAATATGATGGGGGAGTTGAGGTTATGTAAGGTCTGTAAGGTTTTATAGTAAGAACTGAAATGCCTGTTTATGGTGGATAAGTCACGGGAAAATATACATTTTTTGTTGCATTTGTTATTTTTTGTGACCAACATTTTTTAAGTTTCTGGACTCTCATTTATTTCTATAAAAATCAAAGTTATTAAGTTAATAAAACATCCTCTTCAACATCTTCATCCAGATTTATTTCCACATCTGAATAGAATGTGTAGAAGCCTTAAAGTCAAGTTATACATTATTAGGTTTTTTCTCACACTTCTTATTCTTTTAAAATCCATTCTTTCTTATTGGTTGCAAACTGCACTGCAATGTGAACCTATCCAAGAGACATAAAGGATGTCCTTCGACTGACTTCAGACACCTTTAAAAAAAACTGAGCTTCTGGAGAAACAGATCCTTGAATCAGTACCATGATCTGATGTTAGAAAATCTTCTAAAGATGTTCCGTCTCAAGTAAGTATTCTGTTAATTATGATTACTTTCTCCCCTGTGTAATCACTAGATTATAAAGAGTCTTGCAAAGTATAAAGTCTGTGCAAAATAATGATAGATATGTGCAAAAGCAAAGGATTATCTGATTAGTCCTGAGGTTGTTTTATGGATTAGAATCTTTAGTGTATGTGTGTAGGAGTTTTTTTATTCTGAGGGTCACAATTATTATTATTTTTGGTGAAGCTAAAGAAACAAGAACAGACCTGATGTCCTGATTATTGCACAGCTCACAGCCTCCTGTATGACTTGGCCGCAGATTTGTTTGCATGAAAATAACTAAGATCACCCAGGATGGATTTCTATGCTGGGTTTGAATGGTCACTGTAAGGTTTGTCTGTGTACATCCTGATCAGGCAGGATGCATGTTAAAGCCAGCTCCAAACCAAGGCTCTGCCTGTCAACAGATTTCAACAGATTTG